TTCAAATGTAGGAAGGAAAAGGAAAATGGATTCTGAAAAATAAATACTGAAGTAAATAAGAAGTAAATAAGTCAGAAATTAAAAGCTGCTTAAGTTCAGTAACTAAGTATTTCTGTCTCCAAGCGACTCTGACAGCTGACAGATTGAAGAGGATGGGTTCTCTCTGAGCCGGTCCAAAAGAACAGCAGCTTCAGGACAAAGCTTTAATGTCTTTGTCTTTTCTTCCTAAAAATTAGTTTTAAATCACTTTATTTTATCCAAGTTATTCTAAGATGTTTGTGGTTCTGGTTCTACTCTAGAGGAACCAAATCTCCTTCTGAATGGAAAGATGATAATCAGAAATGAGTAATAAAGCTATCTTATCTTGTCTCATTATCTGAATCTTTCCCAAATCAAACTGAAACATCTCCATCATTACTGTTTTATTTTTTATATTTATATGTTTTAAAAACAAAGCGGCTCGTGTATGACATCATCCACACATGCGCGCTGGAGTTGTGACAGGCAGCCCGGGCCACAGGTGGCTACGCTCTACCCCTTCTATTCATTCGGCTAGCTAATCTGAATTGTTCAATTCCATTTGGAGAGCGAGATCATCTGTGGTAGTAGCACTAGACATCTTCCAGGCATGTTAGTAAAACTAGCAGCAGTTCAGCGGACAGGAAGAATGAACGGTAGCCGGCATGCGCTGATGACCTCATACACACTCTGCTTTGTTTTCAAATAAAAATATAAAAAATATAACCCTAGATTTCTGGGAGAAAGTGATTTGTCTACATGTTATGAATGCTGGCGTACCATAAATAATAACTTGTAAACAGTTTAGTTTGTGCCTTCAACTCGTTGCCCATAGGAAGACGTTACTCGGATATAACCTAATGGAATATCTTCAGAACAGCTCCAAATGACACAAAACTTAAATGGGTGAGTAGAACATGATGTAATAACGTAAAATCAAAGGCCCAATGTAAAAAAAAAAACAAAGTTCCCCTTTAACATCATTTGACTGATTTTCCTCTTTTTTTATTTATCAGTCCAAAACATTTGAAAGTTGAAACATCTGGAAAATAAAGGTCAATATTTAGAACATCTGGAACAGGAAAATAATTAATTTACAAGGTAAAAGTCTGAGAAATGTTATTGTGACATTTGGACAGCAGCTGTTTTTTAAGAAAATATATTGGAATATAATGATAAACAGAAAGTGGCCTGTACTTATATAGCATTTTTTCAAGTCAGGAGACTTGACCAAAGCGCTTTACACTACATTCATTCACCTATTCAGGCACACACTCACACACTGATGGTGGCAAGCTATATTGTAACCACAGCTGCCCTGGGGCTCACTGACAGAGGCGAAAATGATTAATAAAAATCAGCATTAAAGTATCAGTGAATGATTTGGTGTGAATAAACAGAGAAAGGTGTGGAATTATATTTTTCCTTGGCCTGTTTGTGAGATAAAATGTTACTCTGTCTTTCCTCTCTTCCTGAATAGGAGTGATTACTTAGAAGCTTTATTGAGATGAAAGGAAGGAGGGTTGAAAGGGAGTACCCCCCCCTAGGTTAGATAAGGGGAAAACATAGATAAACACGTCAGGATTATCACATCCTGGGGTGAATGGGAAACCAATGGTATCTCTTTCCTTTGATGAACTACAGTGTTTCTCTTGGGGGATGTAAATGTGTGTGTGTGTGGAATCCTCTTATAAGCAGGGGTAGGATACTACAGCCTCAGAATCGCACTCACAGCTGTTTTCAGCTGGTTTGTGCCATTCTCCTCTGCAGAGTAAAATAAAACCTTTTCTTCCTTGGATATCAACTCTCAGTGCCCATTTTTTACTCCACAATACTCACCTCAGTTTCTTCACTTTGCAGATTGAACTCTCCAGTATCTCACACAGATGCTTCTTTCCAGAGTCTTTAAAGGATCCACAGATTGTCTCTATTTCCACTTCAGTCAGATGAAGGTTGGACTTCAGAGCTGAGGCCACAACTTCACATCCAGCTTCAGAGAGAGAACAGCCACCAAGTCTGTGATTAGAGGAGAAATAAAGTCAGTTCTAATGAAATCAGACAATCTGGATGATAAACACATACTAAAAAATGATAAGCAAACAGTGATGTCATCATCTGATGAACATCTGCTCTCCACATTAGTGATGGGTCCAGCAACAGCGATGCGTCGGTGCATGCGTGGAGCCCATAGAGCAAACCACTGTATTGGTGCGTGTGTCGTTTCCAGAAAGTCATGTGACCGATACAGGAGTTGTTTCTAACTGACTGACTCACTAAACTGGGTTTAAAAACGGATCTGTCAACATGATACATCTGCTGAAAAAATGTCTCATATTTTGCAGTTTATTATTAAAATGAGCAATAATTTTAGAGCCTAAAAGGAATAGGTACTTTTCAGCCATTGTGTTTTTATTTTAACTTTCTCATTATGGCGTCCTTTTCCTCTCAGTTATCACTCAACTTATCTGAATTAAAGTTAATTTCGAATTTACTCTTAGTTTGTTTACAGTTTTTACTGTACTTATTGTTTTGAAATTATGTTTTAAAGTCCTAGTCCACAAGCATCCTCATTCGCATTTCGACCCTAAATATCACGCTATGTTATATTTTTACATTTATTTGCTACATTTGACAAATATCAAATATATTTTCAATTTAAACATAGATGTGAAATAATAAAACATAACCTCCAATAACAAATGATATCATTGTACTAGGTCATCAAATCAATTCAGTTTAGTCTGTCCAGCAAGCTGCCTGTAGTGTCTTTAAATGTCCAGCAGGTGTCAGTATTCTGTGAGACAGTATCAATGCAGCATCAATCCAGTTTGGCTTCAAGATGCCTCATTAACCATCACTGCTCCTCATCAATGTCCTGTGTTTGACACCACAGAGAATCTCTTCAGTCTCTTCAGGTCCTGGTTCAGCTGCAGACCTACTGTGTCTCTGCTTTAGTTAGAAGCTCCATTAAAATATTTCTGTAAATCTTTATACACATCACAGTTAAATCCAATAATTATATCAAGCCATTTCTGGATAAAATAACTCTTCCTAAATTATGAGAGAGTGACCCTGGACTCACCACCGTCAACAGCTGAAGTCCAGGAAGCATTAAAAACCATGCCAAATAATAAAGCGCCACGTCCAGACGGGTTCCCTACTGAGTTCTATAAAGAGTTCTGGGACATTCTGGCCCCAACGATTCACAGAATGCTGCAGTTAATATGAATTCTTCCACCATTAGTCTCCTGCTTAAGCCAGGCAAAGATCCAATATTTCCAACCAGCTATCATCCCATATTCTTAATTAATGTGGATATTAAAATAATCTTTAAAGCTTTAGCAAAACGATTACATAAATTTACTCCTCTCACAATCCACCCAGATCAAACTGGTTTCATCAAAGGAAGGCAGTCAGCCGCTAACACACGCAGACTGCTGAATTTAATAGATTATTCCTACAGTAAAATCTTAAATCCTATATATTGGCTTTAGATGCAGAAAAAGCATTTGATAGAGTAAACTGGAAATTTGCTACTCTACATAAATTTGGTTTTGGCAATTCCTTTATAAATTGGTTAAAAATATTATACAGCTTCCAAACAGCCTGTGTCAGGACAAATAATCAAACATCTTCCAGCTTTTGTCTCCAGAGGGGCACCAGGCAGGGATGCCCGCTCTCCCCCTCACTTTTTGCTATTTTCATTGAGCCTCTAGTTGCTACAATCAGACAAACTAATGTGGTTAAAGGTATAATAGGCATGAAAATAGAACATAAAATTTGTCTTTATGCAGATGATGTATTACTTTATCTTCAGTACTCAAACACTTGCCTCTCTCAAGTGTTTAGTTTACTAGAATCTTTCTCAAAAGTCTCAAAATACTCTATAAATTGGTCTAAATTTATAGTACTACCAATTAGTTGCTCTCTACAGAATCCCTTAGGTATACAATTGCAATCAGGAAATGGCAAATATTTTGGAATTACTGTGTCATCTAAATTAGATGAGTCACCAAAACTCAACCACAACCCTCTTTTGACAAAAATAGAAGAGGAGAAAGATGGAAATCGCTTTCGATCTCCCTTATAGGTAGGGTATCCTCATTTAAGATGGTCTTACCCAGAATTAACTACCTATTTTCAATGATCCCATATAAACCATCACCCAATTGGTTTAAATCTCTAGATTCTTCCATCTCTAAATTTCTTTGGAAGGACAAACCCCCTTAAAGACACTACAGAGAACTAAAGACAGAGGGGGACTAGATTTACCTAACTTCCAAAACTACTACTTAGCAAATAGATTACAATACATCTCTATATGGATAAAAAATAATTCCTTAGATGAGCCCTGGATAGACACAGAACAAGAAATATGCAGTAATATCATAATCTCAGATTTGCCGTTTATTAGCTCTAAGATCAAACAGCACCCATGTTTTAAAAATATTAACATCAGCTCTTCCCTGACAGCATGGTGGGAATTTCTTGAAATAACAAAGTCATCACTTATCCCATGCAGTCATACACCCATCCGGAATAACCCTGACATTCTACAAAAAAATAATATTATAAACTTTCCGTACTGGAAGAATAAAGGTATTACATATCTGGATCATTTGTTTGAAGGTACGGAGTTTATCACTTTTGCTAGCTTAAATTTGCAATGTGGCATTAACAAAAATAAATTCTTAGAATATGAGCAAATTAAAGCTGTAATTAGAAAAAAAATTAAGCATATTGATGGAGGTTTACAAATTCCAACTAATATATCAGAGTTTCTAGAGTTAAACCCCCCAAAACTACTGTCTAAATTATACAGGACACTGACTAAACTTGATGATACAATATCTCTTCCTATTACTAAATGGGAGGAGGATTTATCAGCCAGCTTTGTACAAAACATCTGGGCTCAGATATGTCTAAGAACTTTTAGCATGACTAGAAACCCCAATTTATAATGAATACAATTCAAAATCCTCCACAGAGTGCACTATACAAGTAAAACATTATTCAAGATGGGTTTGGCACAATTTAACATCTGTCCACAGTGCATAGGTAATCATCTTGATAATTATATTCATGCATTATGGTTATGCACGCCGGTTCAGAACTTCTGGGTACAGGTATGTAAGGACTTATCAATGTGCCTGGGTTGTAAAATCTCACTTTCTCCTTCAGTTTTATTGCTCGGTGACTCTGAGGGAAACTCTATGGAAAAAAAATCAGTTTGCATGGCTTTCACTGTTTTATGTATCGCAAAGAAAACTATCCTCATGAATTGGAAAAGTAAGGATAAACTCAGCATCAATCAGTACAGAGATCTGTTGCTGGATCATATTAATCTTGAGACAGCATCTGCATTCCCATCAGACAGATCTCTCTGGGCTCCCTTGATCGACTCCATCACTTAGTGTAGTGGCGGGCTGTGGGGCGAGTCCTATGGGGCGCGGGGGCTGGTTCAGGGGTCCTTGGGTCCTGGAGGGGTCAGGGGGCACTCAGAGCGGGGTGCCTGGTGGGTCTAGCCCAGGGGTCTGTTGCCCCAATCGGGGCGGGGCCTGGGGCGCCTCGGGGGGTCCTACGGTGGCCGCATGCTCTTGGGGGGTTCAGTGGTGGCAGACGTGGGCTACCGACCTGGTAGCTGTGCAGCTGCTGGGTGGGTAAGGGGTGGGTCCGAGGTCAGAGATCGCTGGGGCGCGCTGCCCTCGGGCAGGGGCTCCGGTGGGCGTCGGGGTTCGGGTTCTGTGGGGAGTGCTGCTTGAGGTCTGGGCCGGCTTACGCCCTGCTGTCCAGCCCTGCCGCGGCCTCTGGTGTGCTGGGGTGCCTCGGGGCCTGTTGGGCTGGGGGGCATGGACATTAACACCTATGGCAGATACTTACCCCTTCAGGGGTTTGCACTCTGCTAGTGGGGGAAGGGGAGGGAGGGGGAGTGGGAATGATCTAGGCCTGGATGTCTTCTGTCGCTTGTGTGGTAAGTGGTTTGACTGTTAATGTAGGGGAGTATCAAATCTCTGGAAGGGGGGCGGGGGTGGTGATGGAGGGAAGAGGATTTTAGAATGGCTTTGGGTCTGGCCGGGGTTGTCACCCCTTATTTATTTATTATTATTATCATTATTTTTTTGGGGGGGGGATGGACAGGATGGGGGGGTTGTTGGCCCTGTGCCGGGCTGGCTGGTGGGTCCTACTGCCGGTCCCTGGCCCCCCGGCTATGGTGGTGAGACTGGTTGGACCCCCCTCTCCGGTGGGGCTCTCGGGCCTATTGGAGTCTGCGGGGGAGCTGGTCCCCTGGGAGTGCAGTAAGCACCTCAGTCCTTTGCTCCCCATCCCTGAAATCCTTACTGGAGGGCCCCACCTTCTGATGACGTTCCCCACCCCAATATTATTTTGCATTTTAGACACTTCCATCTACAACATTTTCACAACACACATATATGTAGGGCATTTTCCGGGGGTTGGGGTCAAGGTCATCCGGGGAGGGGGCTTATTTTATGGGCCTCACCACGGTCGGCTCCACCCATCCCGTCTCGCAACCCCTGTTCCCCGGGTGCCACCCGGAGTCTGGGGCCTGGAGCCGCCTGGTCTGTGGTTTCGGTGGGGGCCGGTGCCGGGGCCTATGTGGCCTACCATGGCAGGTCTGTCACTTCAGCTCTACCCAAAGAAGTTTGGAAGGAGGGGCATGTAGTGGCAGGTTGAAGTAGCTCTTGTTGGGGGTGCTCCGGTCCGTGTGCGGGGTGGGGGGCCAGGCTTAAAGCAAGAATGAGATGGGTTGGTGTGGCGGTGTTGCCATTCCCCTCCCCCCCATCCGGATTTCAGGTTCACTTATTGGGTCATCCAATAATCCCGGGACCAACCACCGGTGCTGCTGGGTCTTGGGTCCTGGCATTATTGGATGTGAGCGTTATGTGTGAATGTGTGTCTGCGATTTTTATCATTATTTTTCTTCTTCTGTGGTGCGAGTGGGGGCACTAGGGTGGGAAGGCGTGAATGAGATTGAGTTTTTTTTTTGTTTTTTTTCC